GAAGAATTGAAATCCTTTACTAGGGAGGGGGTCCGGTGCTGGTATTCATATAGGGGCTGTTCTGTTAGTTTGAGAAGGAACCAAGGCCAGTGTCCGATAGGCTGAGATTGGTGGATGATCTCCATAGCACTCCACGACAGGAGTTCTATGTCTAAATTCTCCACATCTTGGTCACATAAGATGACATAAAAATACAGTTGAAGTCGAAGCAAGTTGGTTAATGATTGATTTCAGCCACATCTAGCAGTCTTTTAGACCAGGTCGTGGTTCAAGGGTTGGACCACTGGACTTCTAATCAACATGCTGTGTGTTTGAGCCTCGTTCAGTGCACCACCTGGGGTTACGTATGACAATCTGATGAATAAGAAATGACAATTTTAGTGTTCCCTGTTTTGTCACCAATGTTCGCCTGTTACATGCACCTTAAACGCCTCACCGGCAGGATGTAAATGTGTAGTAATTTTAAGCACTCCCTGCTTGAATACAGGATAAAAATTGCAAACAGCAGCCAGTTCGCGATTTGAGGAGTCTTAGAACTCAGCAGAGATGTTTTTCTAAGCTAATGAGATACGGCAGAATAGGAATTTTCTTATCTGGTGAGACTGCACCAATCATATTATACCAGAGCAGTTTGCCAATGCAAAGTAGACCAAGTGGCTGCTGAAACCGGTTGCCTTTGATTACGATAATGATTTGTCATATTGTCTGTTTTGCAGGACTGCTGAGTAGTGACTGTGGAGTAGGGACGCGGACGTTCACCCTGGCTGGTCATGAGCACAGTGAAAATGCATCCAATTCGTATACCGCATCGATAATGTCCGATGAGCCATACTTTCGGGCTTACAGCTCGGACTTAGAGGGAGTAGAAACCCTCTTTCATGAAGTATCGAGCCCGGAACTCGAAAGACTGGGTAAATTGTGTTTTCCAAGCCTTTGCAATGCTAGACCCAGACAGGTGCAATTTCTGCTAAATGTTAGCGACTTGTTCGGTACGACTGTTGATTTAAGGCTCAATGTCAATTTAAGATAGCTGGATGATACCTTGTGGAAAATACATGTAAGATTGCAAGTAGGGGATGTTACATGTTAGGCTTCGCGTTTTTTTGAGGGGGGTTATCAATTATTTATAGCCCAGTTTTATCAGGCCTGCATTTACTTTATTTGGCAAGGCTGAGACAAAGGTGACTAAGGAATGTTCCTTCGCTTTTCTAGGCAAACGGCAGCCCTCTGAGGTTGTCTTGAACGGCCGCAGCCCCAGTAGCGGCAAAAGCAATAGCTATCTCGCCGTTGAACAGATGACGGACGGCAAACGGCTGTCCGATGCGGTTGTGTCGAACAACAGCAGCAGCATCAACAGCAGTCGCCGCATGAGCAGCAGCAACAGCAACAGCAATTGCCATCGCGTCGTTGCAAAGAAAACCGACGATAACCGGCTGTTCCATGCAGTCGTGTCGAACAACAGCAGCAGCCAAGGCAGCACCAGCAGAAATAGCCGTGGTGTCGTTGCAAAGAAGACGGAAGGTAACCGGCTGTCCGATGCGGTTGTGTCGAACAACAGCGGCAGCATCAACAGCAGTCGACGCAACAGCAGCCAAGGCAGCATCAGCAGAAATAGCCGTGGTGTCGTTGCAAAGAAGACGGACGGGAACATGCTATCCCATGCCGTTGTGTCGATCTTATTTTCCACGACACAACAGCCATTGCTGGTGATGCTGCCGCGGCTGCTGTTGCGACGACTGCTTTAAGTAGGGGATGTTCATGTTAGGCTTCGCGTTTTTTTGAGGAGGATAATCAAGTATTTATAGCTGACAATGCCCAGTTTTATCAGGCCTGCATTTATTTTATTTGGCAAGGCTGAGACAAAGGTGACTAAGGAATGTTCCTTCACTATTCTAGGCAAACGGCAGCCCTCTGAGGTTGTCTTGAACGGCCGCAGCCCCAGCAGCAGCAAAAGCAATAGCCATCGCGTCGTTGAACAGATGACGGACGGCAAACGGCTGTCCGATGCGGTTGTGTCGAACAACAGCAGCAGCATCAACAGCAGTCGCCGCATGAGCAGCAGCAACAGCAGCAGCAATTGCCATCGCGTCGTTTCAAAGAAAACCGATGATAATCGGCTGTCCGATGCGGTTGTGTCGAACAACAGCAGCAGCATCAACAGCAATCGCTTGACACTCCTCCAGCATCAGGCCACTGGAGAAGCCCGTACGGACCTCTATGTCTCCCGCGCGGAACCGGCCCAAGGTAGATCATTGCTATTGTGGAATTAGGTAAACTGTCGAAGCAGTGTCCGGCGCCGACACTGTCGGGCAGTCAACGCATGGCGAGCACGCTAAAGCTTGAGAGCAGAGGTCTCTAAACTATGTTGCCACAGTCGGCAGATTGCATCCAGATATAGTGCCATTCACTAAGTTTATCTGCTATTTGAGTACACTGAAGGCCACCACAGAAACCCTAAACCTGCAATAAGTTGATCTTCCGACTGAAAACATTTCAACTGCTAGTATCCTGGTGTATTATGCAACCATACTAGCTAGATTGCCAGCCTATTCGCAGTCTTGGATTAAAGTCCAAGTATGTAGGAATAAATAGATTAACACTTTTGATCTGCTCTTTGTTTTAGCTTCCGCCGTGGCCTGTGGGGACAGACCTATGAAAAAGCAGAGCTCTTAGGGAGGCCCACTGTTCCCGAAAGTAACCGGGTCGCGGCGGAAGGGAGAGACGCGTTTCGGCCGTATTCTTACAAGATTCAAATGCTGCTACAGTTTCCCTCCTGAGGAAGATGGCCATGGATAGCCCTCAGTCCCCCAAAACGCCCTCTACCTCAACAAAGTAGACAGACGGATATAGATGTACATATTTATGTTTTTATATCAAATATAAACCTACACCTTCACGCAGTTATCCCGTTGATTCTGTGAGAGTTTTCCTGTTGGAGAAGCCTGCAGGTGTCCCTGTGTAGCGACAATCGCAGGCCATGTTCTATATTTGAATTTTGTCCCTTACCTTTCATGCGAGAAGCAAAACAAGTAAAACATCTTACTCAACTGTGAAAGTACTGTAAGTTAAGGAAGGCGAAGAACTTGTACACTTCGGGTGTAAAATTTTTCGGGGTTGATAAGTCGACAACAAGCCAGATATCCCAAATGAAAAGTCAGGAAAAACGTTTAAGGCTGAACAAACAAAGCGCCGTGTTCTCCGGCGAGTTTTATGGTGGCCTCCACTAGTGGTCCTTGCAGTCAAGCAGTGAATGATGTACTTTGATTGGTTGTTGCCAAGACGCGGGCGGCTCTAGCAGCAAACTGACCAGGATAGTCAAGTGGACTGCGATAGGCACGATTAAAGGTTTGCGTGGACGGCCACACAAGCCGACGTGCTCGAACAGGACATTACGGCTGACGTGACGATATGCCTACTCTTTGTGTGCTGAGTGTTGTCCGCGTGATGACATCATCATTCGGCCAAATAGTTGACAATTATTGAACTTAATTCAGGAAATGGTATCCTCTCAATAGTAGCGCAGATATTGTTCAACTGTGGAAGTCTACTATTCAGTGCTGACTCATTCTGCTTTCGCTCGGCCACAGTTTACACCAATGCCTAATCATCTACTCCGTGTGCTGTCAGCCCTTTCCACGCGATCCTCCAACTCGCCGCTTCATACGCGCGCACACTTATTGTTAATCAATACTTCCGCCTCATCTGATTGGCAGCTGCCGACAGAGTACTCATCCAGGCGTTCAGACCTACCGCTTACCACCTGTGTCCATACGACGGAACGAGGCCTTCGTCGATGGCTTCTGGCAGCAGAAGGTCACCAAATCCCCAACGGCCGAATTCCCCTACTTCGTCCCAACTATCCACCTGAAGCCTCCGCCTGAAACGCGAGAGAGGTTATGCATGAGCGCATGATACGAAGTACCCGCGCATGGGCGAGCTCAATGGCTTGATCATCAAGACCGTCAACGACGGAAAACGCCTAAACTAGCATAAATTAGTTGCAGATTACAGTTTCCGCGGCAACTCAGCTGCCGATTGGGAACATCTACGCAACCTACCCA